TATAAAATCTGAAAAATTTCAGATTTATTTTTAGTCCAAAGGGATTTGAATCCCGAAGGACTATTAGTTTCGTTTTGGCATTTTGCGTCGGACTCATAAATGTCGGTTCACTTTTCAAACTGTTGCCATAAAATGTTAGAGTCCTGCATTATATTTGAAGAAATTAAATAATGAAAATCTCCGTAAATGTATGTATATTTCTCACATTGTCATAAAATAACGGTACATAGAGTCATCGAATTTTGAATAACGTAATCCTCCAACGAATATGAGCATGTGGAAGACCAAATTTGAAATTTGAAATTTGTTTTATGATCGATTTCCTATTCTTTAAAACTTTGACGAATTTTTGATTAACAAACTCAAGGATTTCAAAGCGAGCAATGGCAACGTTGTGCAGAAAAAAACATTTTTATCTCCAGCGCGTGAGTCTCTGTATCGGAAATTCTAAAGATATGCTCGTTTTAAAACTATTTTGCGATATTGTTGTTGCACTGGATCTTATGGTTTAAGTGCGAGGAACATGATATTTAATAAAGAGAAAGGTAACACACAAAATGTTAAAAAACGCCCCTTTGGACGTAATTTAAAATCTGAAACATTTCAGATTTTTTTTTTATTTAGTATTGCAATTTATATTCCATTTTTATCACTTCTTTAGCATTTATTCGTTGCTGTGTTTGTGCTTTATTCTCCACTGACTTGTATCGTTTAAATACGCTTCCGTATTGTATTAGTACTCCTGTTTAATTTGATTTATTTTTATTCTTCAAGCTCTCACAATCTATTAATCTGAAGCTGGTGCCTCATTCGCTTTACGACCCTATAGAGATGTACGGCTTAAAATGTTTATACCAATTTGTTTCAAAATTCATTGCTTCTTGCTAATAAGGTGTTTATTTCTGCTGCTCGCTTCCAGAGCCACTATTCTAAGTGATTTATTGAGTTATGATTCCCACTCTCTGTCGAGAAAATTATAAGACGACTAATTTCCTTTTCGTATGTTTAATATGTGTATGCTGTCTTTCTTAATTAATAAAAAGTATTTACTGTAATATGGATTTATTCTGGAAAGCGTTCAAAAAGCTTAACGTGTTTACAGCGTTGCAGTATCTCTGTTTTTGGTTATTTTTCAAATTTGCAAAAACTAACCTTTTCGTAACTTATATTTCTGTGGCTCTTATAAAATTTCTTAAGTTTTATGACGTCAAAGAAATTTACATTTGGGGGAATATAAATTGCATGCATTTTTCTTTAAAATATGTAGCTTACGTATTTTCTGATGAGAATTGAAAATATTCTCCTAATAAGAATTGAAAATATTCTTCCTGATGAGAATTGAAAATATTTTCCAATTGACTTCAAGGGAAGTGTATGCCTCTGAACTCATTGATTTCGCCCAGATTATGCATAAATTTAGAGAATCTTAAAAGGAATGTATGCTTAAAGTAAGTGTTTGTTCTTTCAAAAGAAAAAGAGAAAGTTGAGGTTGAAATTCTAAGTAACATCCAATCCAAGTTACTTAAATTCCTCATCAGCTATCTTGAATCTACAAAAATCTTTCAAAACAACATAATATTAAAAACAACAACAATAATAATAATAATAATAATACCAATTAAAAAAAGCGCTGGTGCGAACTAGATTCTTTAAAAATAATTTTCGTTCTAAATTTCTTTTCAAAATTAAATAATATTTTAAAAATTGGTAACACCAATTGGAAAATGGTTTGGGCAGCAACTGGATTCGAACTGGAGAGTTCCTCTAGCACTCAGATTATCGACTCTGACAGTTAAAAGGAAGGATTGGATTGGGTTAGATCGGATAATGCGAATATGATAAAATACACAAGGGCTATCTGCCTAAGGGGAGAGATGCCTTCGTGCGAGGGGGGTTGTTTACTGAGATTACGGCAAAGCACACTAAGGCTATGTACCTAAGGGGAGGGATGCCTTCTTCGAGAACTTTCAAAGAGAAACTGGCTGATATATACTGTAGTTGTGGGAAAAACCGCGAAAACGCCCATACAACCAGCCCGTTTTCCTGGAATCGAACCCAGGTCGGAACTGCCAGTATTCAGCGACCTTTACCACTCGGCCGCCCGTCTTGGGAAACTTTGGATAGGAAATTGGCTCGTATCCACGAAAACTGACCATGCAGCCAGCCTATTCGTCTGAATTCGAACCCTGGTCCAGCTACCGGTATTCAGTTGTCTTAACCACTCAGCGAATGATGAGCACAATTGAGAAAAGAATACACTGACTACCAATAAGTATTTGGACACCTGTGATAGAAAAGAAAACCTAACTTTATTCAAAATCAATAGTTGGTAGAGCCTCCACGAGAGGTAATTACAGCGTGAACCCTCCGGGGCATACTTTCCACAAGTCTTTGTATGACAGCTAGTGGTATTATCTTCCACTCGGCTTGGAGAAGACATAGAAGTTCCTTCACCGATTTTGCACGGGTAGTGCATCCCTGAATTCGGCGATTAAACTCGTCCCAGAGGTTCTCGATAGGGTTCAGGTCTGGACTCTGGGCAGGCTATTCCATTCGATGAACTCCATTGGCACCATACCAAGCCTTGGTTAACGTTGAAACATGACAACTGGAATTGTCGTCCTGAAAGTTACAGGGGTCCAACCCGTAAAACTGCCACAACGTAGGAAGCACATTGTCATCCAAAATAATGCAGTAGGCATCGGAGTTGAGCTTACCATGAATGGGGACCAAGGGTCCCAGCCCATACCAGGAACACCCCCAGACCATAATTCCACCTCCGCCGAACTTGACTGTTGGCACAATACATTCTGGCAGGAGACGTTCTCCAGGTAGACGCCAGACCCAGACCCTGCCATCCGAACGGTAAAGGGTGAACTTTGATCCGTCACTCCAAAGAACCCGTTTCCACTGATCTACGGTTCAATTTCGATGTGCTTTGCACCACATTAACCGAGCAGCGCGGTTGGACTTTGTGATCAAAGGCTTATGGGCAGCAGCACGACCATGAAAACCAAGCAGATGTGCTTCCTTACGGGTGGTATTCATTGAAACAATACTCCCGGATGCCTATTGAAACTCCTCGCGGATGAGGGCCCTCGGTTGGGTGCGGTTTTTCCGAATTTCTCTGGACAGCACTCGTCAATCTCTATCTCCCAGTTTCGTTGGTCTGCCCACTCGGGGCACATTCCAACAATCACCGCTCACCTTCCACTTCTTAATCACATAGGCCACTGTCGATTTTGGGTACTTATGATCGCTAGATATGTTCCTTAAGGATCGGCCACATTTGTGATACCCGATAATTATACCTATGCGAACTACGAGGCATCTTGCATGCGACTGAAGCCGATGCTGTTTCCTACATGATATATACCGGCGGAGTCCGTGACGTACCTTAGGACCGCAGATATCGTCATTTGCATAGGTGTCCAAATACTTATTGGTAGTCAGTGTATAAATAGTACGAAAATTACTTGAAACATTAGCCTCGATTTTTTAGTGTATTTAGTCTAAATTTTCAGAAATTGGACAGAAATGTTACGCTTTTAACAATTAAATGAACTCAAGTTAGTTTTGTTATATTCCTAGTTAGTGTTGTTACATTTTTCGTGATTTTCTTTGAACGTAAAGGTATTCGAAGCCTGATGAATGAAACGCAAGTTTATTTTAAATGAAAAAACAAAAAATTAGTTTTCTGCATAATACTTGCTACGGTCATTGCACTAAACGTCGAATATCAGAGTATAACTGTAATTCATTGCAGAGATCAGTATTATTTCATTCTGAGCATATTTCAGAGAACGTTTTGCAGTAATTTTCCATTTTATTTCATCAAGTTCACATTTATTTGCATTAAATTTTACTTATTAGGATTTTCTGTATTAATTTTCAATTTTTGTAAGTTTCTAAGAATAAATATATGCGTGAAATATTCACTTTCCAATTATTTCAAAAATGTTATTTCTACTATGTAGCTTTACTGTGTCTTGACATAATTAAACAATCGAATGCAATTTTCATATATATGTAACTTAAATTTCTTAGAAATTGTAACATTATGTTATGTTATTTTTTTTTTTAATTTTATTTATTTTTTTTTTTTTTTTAGAATTAGCAACAAAAATTTTCGAGTTCCATATCTAAAGCTATGTTTTGTACACTATTTTAGCTTTTAGAAAGCATTGCTTGTATAATCCATCATAATTTGTTTTTTAAAAATCCGATGTTTTAAGTTCTTTCAAGCAAAGGTAAAAGTCAGTCACACACAATAAGCACAATTATAGATTTGCGTTAACTTTAATGGCCTCGTGTCATATTTTCAGTACAATATATTGAAGTTTATTTTTTGCTACTTTTTTGTTAACGGGGCGCCACGTAGTGCTAAATTTAAACGTTGACGTAAAATTTTAAGTCGATAGCATTAACGCTTACGCTGCGTAAAGTTTCATGAAAAGAATGTTTACTAATCCAGAATAAATATAAAAAATAAAGATAAATACAAACATACACAAAGTATTTAGCAGATTAATATGAGATTACATAAGAGGAATAAAACCGCTGCTTTTAATTAGCATTATCGAAGATATTTGCATATTTTCGTGCAGTCGCCGCCACATGAATTCGATGAGATATAAGAATCAAGATGGCGGTGACCAGTGCTGCGCCGTTTTGCACATGGCATGCCATATCAGGATCGGTAACTTTGCATTTGCGGGTCACTTGCAAGTGTTCACATCCTGCAGAAGCGAATTCATCCGCTTAAGCAAACTAAAAAATCCAGGGAGAAGATTCCCGATTTATATTCCTTCTTACCGCTTATTCTCAGCAGCATCATTTCGTAGCTATTCATGACGCGATATAAACAGGTTACCGCATTTGGCACTTTGGCGCATATTTGGTGACTGACGCCTCGTTAACAGAAAAGTACCTTTTTTTTATATATATATATATACTGCATATGATTTTTGCTTTTTTAACAAGATTTAACAGAAGATCAGTAAATGTTTGTATTCCAGGTAAGCGACGAACTGGAAGCCATCAATGCCCACTTTGCGGCAAGACTTATGTCAACGAGGGATCCTTGAGGAAGCACATCGCATCCCACCAGGATCCCGCGGCCGCGGTGGCCGCAGGCTTACAGGGCCCTCCTTTAAGAATGTGGCCTTGTACCGTCTGCCAGACAGTCTTCACGCAAGAGGCCGGTGAGTACTTTATGTTACTTATGTCTGTCTACACGGACACGATACAATAATGGAATCATCATCTATAGAAGTGCATTGTATTTCAAATGGATTTAAAGTCACTTTAATTCGTATGTAAAAATAGCAGGGAAAAAACGTAATATATATGAAATATTTAAATCAACTTTTTGTTATTCTTATAATTCTAAGCAATTGTTTTTTCTTGTTCAAGCAAGGTAGGCGCCTTTTTTATTCGGGTGCCACTGTTGAATCATTAGGTTTTTATTTTTTTATGCGGAAGACGTGAAAAATTAGCAGTGCTCTCGCAGGGACTCGAACCGAGACCTCTTGAATACGCGCCGAGTGTGCTACTAGTACACTACGAAGGCATGCTGGAAGGAAGGACAAAATACCCTAGAAAATTATATGATGACTAATTAAAAATATTAGATATTTCCCGAAGTAGTTGGATTCAATAAAATCGTTATGTATTCTTTTATATGGTAACTTTTAGACGGCTGGCTACCCGAGCGACTGTTTTTCAAAAAAAATTAATATAGAACATATAAAAAATGTATGGCAACCCCTATCGGGAATTCTAAAGATATGCTATTTTTAAATATTTTGAGGACTTGCTCTTTTATTTTATGTGGAAGTGCGAAGAATGCGATGCTTAATATTAAAGTTGAAAAGACAACAAATTCTGTTAGCAGGAGTGAGTCCAAAAGCAGACTGGTAACCTGTGATACTCAGCGAGAGCGTAAAAGGCTCAACAAATCCTGTGATGTGACGTTAAATATAAATCCTTTAAAATTTTCTTTCTTTTCATAAAAATGTTTTAGCACTTACTTTTTCGCGGAAAAAAGTAGTATTAAAAGAGATTGGAAAAATGAAGATAAGTAACTCCAAGAGGTTATCTGTATTAAAGAAGTTAAATTAATTATCTGATTGTAAAATTACACCCATAAATTAAGGATAATGCAAAATCAGGCAAAGGAAGAGTTAGAAGCAAAGCAAATTTGGCTTATTTGTAAAGCTTATTTATTAAACAAAAGTGCAAAAAAAGATGCTATATGTTTGATATTATTAAAAAAATTGGCGATTTTTTCCTCCCTGGAGCAAATTACAAAAAAAAAAAAAAAAAAAAAACACCTATTTACAAAAAACCAATATTACATGGTTGGTATGATTGTTAATACATTGTATGTCTCCCAGACGATGCAATACCGTACAACGCCTAGGCATGCTGAGTATCAAATTATCGATCTGATCTTGGGGGGGATATTACACCACTCAAACAGCAATGCTCTCCGAAGTTCCGGTAGACATGTAGGAGGAGGTTGACGGGCTGCAACTCGTCGGCCAAGCATGTCCCACACGAGCTCTACTGGATTCAAGTCCGGTGAGAATGCTGGCCAGTCCATACGGGTGATATCCTCCGACTGAAGGCATTCGCTTACGATGTTTGCACGGTGAGGACGGGCGTTGTCATCCATAAACACAAATTGTGCGCCCATGGCGCCCCGAAACAAACGTACATGTTGTTCCAGAATGACGTCCCGATAGATTTGGCTTGTCATGGTTCCAATTTGAACATGCAAGTCAGTTCTGGAACCCAGAATTATTCCACCCCAAAGGAGCACTCCTGCTCCACCGTAACGGTGTCGTTCAAGAGATGTTTTCTTGGTGGTAACGGGTACCTGGAGCTCTCTAAATGAAAGTCCGACGAGAATCAGACTGCATGCTAAACCTCGACTCGTAGGAAAACATCACACAAGCCCACTGTTGTTGTGTCCACAATGCATGCTCTCTACTCCAGGCTAACCGCAGGCGACAGTGAGTTGAAGTAAGTGGAACGCATCTGACAGATCTACGAGCATATAGACCAATCTGCCCTAAGCGTCTTTATACGGTCTGCCTTGAAATTGTCGTACCAGTGGCTGAAGAGAGCTGACGAGACAGGTCTGAGGCTGTGCTCCGCTTGTTTCTTTTGGCAGTAACTGCCAAATACCGGTCCTCATTCGGCGTTGTAACTCTAGGGCGACCTGTGCTGTAACGTCTACTCACATTACCATCATCTTGGAATCGTTGCCAAAGCCTGGAGATGACACTCTGGGTAATTCCAAGTTCGTCTGATACTTCCAGTTGGGTACGCCCACATTCCAGCGGCCGATAATTCTACCACGTAAAATATCATCCAAATGCGTCCTTTGTGTCATAACTATTCGGATATTGCACTGAAATGCTTATAAAGTGCCTACGAACAATTTTACTTCTTTGCCTATATTCCTTATATATCACGCTCTTATACTCTCGTCGTTGTGACGTACCATCGGTGTCATCTGGTTACTTCCTGAAATTTGCATATTATTCTTGAAGATGTGTGTAGTGATTTTACAGGTGATATACTTATTTTAGAGTTCCATTTCCGCGTGACTCCGAATTATCCTTAATTTATGGACATGAGTGTAATTTAATTAATTCTACAAAGGACATTAATTTCAGATTTTGAATACTTAAGTATCCTTGTTTTTTCAGTAAAAATGTATTACTTAGTGAAAAAATATAAAATATAGAAGTAAAAACATTTTTCAGATCTTCTTTCACTTATATATGATTACGTGAACATGCATTTAAACTTTTTAAAGTCTGAAAAACTCATGTCTGAGATGTTATCATCATGCTATGATACTTAAGTGCTTTATTTTGAACGACGATGTTTTAAAACTGCGAATTTTCTCATACCATGTTTTATGGACCAGTGTTTTAGAACTGCGATATTTTCTCCTTGCTTTCCTTTCTATCGCATTGTTTTATACAATGCTTTTATATATAATTTCTTTCTCGTAATTTTCAGGTTCTGTTTATGAAAAATTAAGATTTTAGGAAACAAATTTTTTAGTTTCTTTTTTAATTTGTTTACATTAAACTTGGATGTTCGACGAATACCATTTCCTTCAACTGAACGTCTAACTTTCTTTTATGAAAAGCATATATCAACATATAAGCGTCAAAAATATGCGAATATTTTTCAGATCGGGATCTTTATTATGTTTTAAACTAAGCTTACAGTTCTAAGTAGATTATTAGGAATTCGAAGATAAGCTGCGGTTAACACGGCAGCTATCCAAAAATAATTTGGAAGTCTGAATTCAAAAATTAGAGCCTACTCTTTTTCCCGGTTAGCTCTTTCTGCAACATCCTTTAACTATGAAGTATATCAGTTGGATCAGTTATGACAGCACGTTTAAAAGCCAATTGCACTAATTCCCTGCTTAAATATTCTTTGGCATTGTCACATCTAATTTTCCTTACGGAAGGATTTTAAGAAAGCTTTCATCTTATCGTCATCATCACTATTTAGTAAGCGAACATAAACCTTTAACTGCTGTGACAATTATTTGACATAATTACTATGAGCGGTCTCACAGATGGCTTTAAAGAAACGCGTAAAAATACGTACTTTTATGGTATTCTAAGGACTCTTATAGATACTTTATGCATATTTATGGAATTCTAATTTATTTAAATCAATATATTTTAAACATAAATCATTTAATTTTGCGCTGTTTAATTGATATAAAAAATCACTATTTCCTTTATTTTAAGGAAACGTTTTTAAAGAAGAAAGATTTTATAAAACATGCATGAAAATATGTGACTTAATTAAGTATTACTGTCAATTAAATCATAATTCTATATTATTGAATTTAATTACTAATATATTATAGATTAGTATATTTTTGTTTACAAGGATAAATCATAAGATGATATACAGTCAAAAAACATTTTTTGAGAGCACTGATGACACACTTATTCCTTGCATTCCAAGCATTTGTATGCTGTTTTTCTCTTCTTACAAGGTGGGCACAGACTACATGTTTTTCTTTCTTCTTGATTTGATAAATCCATTCTCTTAATTTCCTTCTATTCAAGGATTCTTCTGATTGTTATCTTCAGTTCCCTTGGCAAAACAGCAGAAGTTTTCCCAACTTTCAAATGCGGTTTAATAAGCTGACTAGCTAATAAAAGCATAAGTTTTTTCCTTTTCAGTTTTGTAGCATCAGGATATGACTGGAACAATATGTATGAACATAAATTACAAGTATCTTCGGGCTCTGCTCTAGAGCCTATTTTTGCAGGATGTTTCAGACCAGAGAGCGGATCTATTATGTTATGTTTTGGTGTTTGCACCACCCGTGGTGCGAATTTTGTGTTTTGTATTGAATTCAGTAATAAATTCGCTTTAAAATGATATATACAAGTTTGCATTTTGTGAAACGTAACGTTTATAAAAATTTCCAAATTTGGCCACCACTGTATGTGGCCTTGTGGGACGAGTTTGTGAAGATATGAGAAAGGACAGGGACCATTCTCCTTTTTTAGGGGTAGAAACAACGGTTAGAAAATCCTCGGCGGTCTCTCAGACCGCTCACAGCAGTCAAAGGTTAATAAAACGTGAAAAATCATCGGACATATCATAAGATGATGGTTCTCATGCTTGTGTGAATGGCATAATTGAACCGCGTGTATCTATGTGTATTTTAACTATCTGATGGTAGCCTATGCAAGGAAACACAGCACCATTAGCACTTAGTCGTTCCGACCCTTAGTTGAATTCATGCATAGGTCACCATAAATAAAACGGACTGCCTTTTATACGAACCTGATGATTAGTTATTCCGTATTTCTCGAATCTACTTAGTACTATTGGAAAATATAGGGGTTTTGCTCTTTAGCGGATTTTACGAATCTTTAGGCTATTGGACGAGATCAGGAAGATCCTTATCCCCTAGTATGTGGACCTATGGCCCAGTAGAAAAAGATGTGGAACTAACCCAAAGTACTTTGTGCACTGAGTCCACAATGGAGAATTCTGTACCAGTTTTAGGAATTATGTGGGACAGAATAGAAGATAACCTTTATATTGAAATTAAGACTGTATTGGTTTCGGATAATTTGTCTAAAAGAGAGGTTTTGTCAGTAACGCAGACAATGTTTGATCCTTTGGGTTTCTTGACACCTGTTTTATTGCCTGCAAAGTTACTGCTACAGGAAATTTGGGCGATAAAAGCAGACTGGGATACTCCATTACCAGATAGTATCAAAAGTAAATTTTCGAGGTGGTATAATAAATTACAAATTTTGAATAAGTTGAGAATACCGCGACGTATAGGTTTTGGAGATAGAAGTTCCTGGACACTTCATGTATTTTGTGATGCTAGCCAGCATGCTTATGCCACGGTAATATTTTTGAGATGCGAAACTAAAGAAGAAACATTAGTCAGTTTTGTAATGGCTAAGTCAAGAGTCGCACCCTTAAAAGAACTTACTATTCCCCGTCTAGAACTTATGGCCTGTCTTTTGGGCGTGCGTCTTTCCAAATATGTGACAGAAGCTCTTACATTGGATGACATCCCGAAATATTTTTGGACCGATTCCACCACGGCCATATCTTGGATTCAAAGAAATGATGCGTGGGGGACTTTTGTGGGCAATCGCGTGAAGGAAATTTGCGCTTTCACTAAAGCAAATCAGTGGTCATATGTACAGGGTCATTCTAACCCAGCTGATTTACCTTCTCGTGGTTGTTCCCCTCTTCAGTTTTTCGAATTAAATTGGTGGAGAGGGCCTGTTTGGCTCAAAGACCCTAGAGATAGCTGGCCAAAATTAGAGGTTAAGCCAAATGAAACTTTAGTTTTTTTTCAGAGCGCAGGAAAAGCATAAATTTAAATGTAAATCTTAGTATAACTACAAAAGCGGATAAAGTTAAGTGGTGTGAGAAGTTCTCTAAATTTTCAAAAATGTTAAGAGTTTTAGGTTGGATAAAGAGATTTATCAAAAATTGTCAAAAGAAAATTGTAAATAAAGAGCCTTTTCTGTCTGCTTCCGAGATAAAGGAATCTAAAAATTATACTTCTTTCACTTGTTCAGGGGGGAGAGTTTTCCAGAGACTGGAGACTCCATCAATGGTCTTTTGACCGTACGAGATCAGAGTGGCTTAAGAAGAGTAAAAACAAAAATCACCGAACGAGATGATTCTTATGCATTCCGGTACCCGATTTTATTACCTTCTAAGCATTATATTGTTGACTGTTTAATTAGAGATTACCATTTAAAGCATTCTCATGCCGGCGTACAAGCATTAACTGTTATAATTAGAGAAGAATTCTGGATCATTGGTGCAAGACGCCGAATTAGATCGGTGGTGAAACAGTGCGTCCGTTGTAAACGATTTTCAGCAAAACCTCCAACTACTGCACCCATTCAATTACCATTAGACAGAGTTCGAGATGCTTTCGCATTTGAAGTTACCGGCATAGATTTATGTGGCCCTCTGATTCTCAAAAATAAAAACAAAAACCTGGGTAGTACTGTTTACGTGTGCTGTATATAGATGTGTACATTTGGAACTAGTGACATCCGTAAGTACCGAATGCTTCATTCAAGCGTTTCGTCGGTTCATAGCCAGAAGAGGTCGGCCATCTACAGTTTATTCAGACAACGGCACAAATTTCGTCGGTACATCTGCATTGCTGAAAAAGGTTGACTGGGTAAAGGTAATTGCTCAGGAAACTTTGCATCCCATCACTTGGAAGTTCATTCCGCCCACTGCTGCTTGGTGGGGCGGATGGTGGGAGCGTCTAATCCGCACAGCCAAGAATTTGATTGTGAGAGTCTTAGGACAAGCTGCAGTCAATTACGAAGAGTTACTCACCGTCATCTGTGATGTGGAAGCCGTAATAAACTGTCGACCACTTACTTATGTGTCAAATGACTCTGAGGATCTTCTACCATTAACGCCTTCCATGTTCTTACAGGACATTAAGGTTTCAGGTACAGCAGATTTGGATGCTTTAGATCGAAATAAACTCTTGGCTCGTCAGCGTTTCTGCCAGGAACTTCGAGAACAATTTCGTAGCCGTTTCCGCAAGGAGTACCTTGGACAGTTAGTACAAAAGCATGGACAGAACGGACTGTGAATTAAAAGTTGGAGACATCGTGCTAATAGGTTGTGAGAACCTTAAAAGAGTGAACTGGCCAATAGTTCGTGTCCAAGAACTTTGTACAAGCAGAGATGGACGTGTAAGAGTTGTAAAAGTGAAAACTAGAAATGGCATACTGATTCGCCCTGTACGTAAACTGTACCCTCTAGAAGTGTGTTCCTGTACTAAGGATATCATTATTTGATTTTTGATTTTGATTCAGAAAATCAAAAAGGTGGGAGTGTTGTGAAACTGATTAGTATCTTACAAACATTAAAAATAAATCTCTCTTCATTTTGATGTACGAGGTACAGATGGCGTTGGCTGTCATCGAAGTAGAGAATAAAAAAGTTTTTTTTCCCTCGTGAGGTGAACGGATTGAGATGTTTAATGTCTCAGAAATTGTTATAATGTATATATTTTCGTATAATTATATTATGTTGTAGTGTAGATAATATATAATAAGATAAATCAACTTCTTAGAGTTTTTATTTCCCATATCAGATTGGTTTCGATTCACATCACACTACCCAGGTAAGTAAGTGAGCAAGTTTTGTCTTTAGTTTTTCTGGATTGCTCGGTATCTGGGATGAGTGAAGGAAATATTTTTATTTTAATGATGAAGCTATGTTTTAGTAATAATACCCTCTGTTGGTGCACTATGCAAGGAAAATTGGTACTGTTTGTCTTAGTCGCTCAGAATCTTAGTTGAGTTCATATATAAGGTTACCATAAACAAAAGGAACTGCCTTTTATAACGAACCTTGATATGATTTAGGTGGTATTTTTCACTCATTTTGCCTTCAAAATTCTTAACTTTAAGTGCATATTAGAAACCAGTAATAGCGGGGTTAGTGCATCTTTTATGGCGGGATTTGCTAGAGATATCTGTAGCCATACTGGAGCTTCGGCGGTTATGTGGGACAGAGATACTTTTAGAAATTTATTCCCTCTGTTGCACTGTGCAAGAAACTTAGCACTGTTAGTGCGTAGCCGCTCAGAACCATAGTTGAGTTCATAAGGTTACCATAAATAAAAGAGACTACCTTTTATAACGAGCATTGATGATTAAATTGTATTTTCCAGTCATTTCCAGTCTATTTCAGAACAGTCATGGAAATTGAACAGGGACAGGGATGGATTATGTGTTGGTGCGAGCCTTAGCGATAAAACTCATGAGGAACCAATAAATGATGTTTTTATATCCCCATCTAAAAATCTAAAAATAGAATATATAAACATGATTAAACGTAATATAGTGTTTCTATTTCAAAGCATTGTCGTATTTTTTATTTTTAATAAAACAGGCATAAAATATATAAATAATGAAAGAACGAAAACTACAATAGATTAACCATATATATTAAGAGCATAAAACGTATAAAATGAAGTAAAATGCTAAATATTTTTTTTTCTGATTTTACTTTAAAACCTTTATTATTATGGAGTAACCGATATTACTCAGAATTGTTTACTGCATATACAACAGCAAGATACGTATAAATATTTCTTCTGATATCGAAACTGAATTATCTTTTTAACGTTTTTTACATGTAGAATGTTCTTTCGTACAATTAACTGGAGATATAGGATAATTGTTTAGAGTAGATAGAGAATTAAATTTTATTCCATGCTTTTACGAAATATAGCAAAATTCTCTAACGTTTTCGAGTTCAATTTTTACTAGTTACGTTTTTTTAAAACATGTGACGAAAAGCATTATTGTTTCTTATTGTTATTTAAAAAATCAGTTTGTTTTGATCTGCCCAGAAAGAAAAAGTGTTCAGTCCTTGATGAATGTGTGACCTCAGGAACTCCGGCGTTTTTTCCCCTTAACATGAAGGCTCTTTTCGGAGTCGGAAGCAGGAAATTATTTCATCCATCTCAAAACTTGTATTCAAAAACATTTTTCCATTGTAAAACTTTGACAATAATAATAATAATAATAAAATAAGAAGTATGTAACCATACGTTAGTTATGCCACTATGTGTTGATGTAGAAAGGTATCTTCTTGTATAATTATGAAATAATTGACTGCTTTTTTGCTCTATAGGTCTTTTGCACCACATGGAGGCCATGCGAACCGATCCCAGGCACCAGTTCGCCGCTCAATATCTCCTAAGTCGTGCTGCTGCCGAACGACGGATCAAGGACCCTAATGATCCATCTAGTTCTGGCATGCCACCATCTTCTTCGTCGGCTGAACAACAACAAGCTCATCATGCCCACATGCAGCAACAACAGCAACAGCAACAACAGCAGCAGCAACAACAACAACAGCAGCAGCAACAGCAACAACAGTGCACTAACATGATGACGGGCATGCCACCACCACCGCCTCAGCAGCCCCAGCCTCAACAGCAACAGCAGCAGCAGCGTCTAGGAAGCAACAATAGTAACAGCAGTAACTGCTGCAGCTCTGATTCAGAAACGGATCCCAACACTAGCCCAACTACGGCCAAATCGGACAACAGCATGCAACCGCAACAGCAGCAGCATTATACGAATATGCTGCATTAACGATAATTGACGTTAAACATGTGCATATTTTGCTGCCATTTTAAAGAAGATTATTATATTACACAAATAAGTTTCACACACGTACAATACTTAACATATATTTATAATATATGTATAATTAATAATGATTATATAAATAGTTCATGACATTTTCATTTAATCGTAAGTTTTTTTTAAATATCTGACATTGTTATGAGCCATTTTATTCATACCATTTGAGCAATTCCATTACTGTTATTTTTATAAAACTTTTGAATAATTTCCTTCTCTGGTGACGACATTTATGATTTAGAATATACCTAATCAAATTACCTAAATTACTTTTATTCAGAAACGTTTTAATCAGAGATTGATGAATAGAAATCTCTTTAAAATTGTTACTATTAAATTACTCGAAATCGCAACTGTTATGTGTAGAAACGGGGAGAGAATACACTGCATTTTGAGAATATAGTTTTTATTTATTTATTTATTTATTATTTTTTAATGAGACAGCAGAATTTACTAATTGTCCTTCATAGCAGAATGCTAGAATAAAATGATTATTAAATCCCCTCAACGTGAAGTTTATTACATAGCATAACATTTGCCGTAGATATTTGCGAGTACCGTTTTATTAATGAGTAACAATTAAAAGATGGTTCTGCATTTAACTCTAACCAAGAGGTGTTCTTAAATTCATCTTCATTTTTAAAAAATAATTTTTGAGTCATGGTCTTGCTGTAAAAAAGGAGTTTTGATTACTAACATTGGTTGTGTATGCCTGTAGCTTCTTTATTTTCTTTATATTGGTTGAGGTGTAAAATACAGATCAGCTTTATCATTTCTGTGATTAAAATCATGTAACATGTTTTTGATCATTTTGGTGACTAAAATTCGAGAACAATCACCGTATGACTGATTTTATTTTGTCGAAGTTTCTAAATGCTAATTGGTATTTATAAATGTTAATTTCAATATCATGTTAAGTACATCAAAACTGTTTCAAGACGGAACCCAGTAAAATTTAAAAAAAAATTATAATTAAAATACCTTTGTCTTATAAATAAGTGCATTGCGAACACTGAGCTGGCTTTCGTAAGAGTATTTGAGCATTTTATTGTAATAAATTAGTTCAAATGCTGTATTACGTATACATGTCAATAATGAAGAATGGTTTCTTCAACTGTAAAATAACTTTAAAAAGTTTTTCGAATTAAATGACCACATCTGGTAGGTTAAAGTATACGTATGTATAAACACTTAACCAAAGACCAAATTGGAAGAGAAACCGCGAATGTAAAATTTAAAATTAAGTAAAAAAGCAGCGTTAATATTTTGAATAAAACATATCGATTCCGAGGGCGATCACTGGCCCTCTTGTTTAAGGCAGATTTGTTTTTTCCTGAAGAAGAAGTACGGTGTCTGATAACCCTCGAATTTTTTATTCAAAGTAATTCATTTATTTTATTCAAATATTTATATTCAAAATATTTCTCAAACTAAGAGGGCATTTTTGCCGTTTTAAACTTACCAAAGTTGTTTTGCTTTTAATAGTATTATGATTTTGAAGCATACTTCCTCGGCATTTGTAAATAAATTCATTTGATTTTCTCTCTCTCTTTGAGTAAACGTGTATTATATGTATATAAATATAATTATTTAAATGTAACAATCATATTTTTAACAAAATATCTGTGATTTCACTTCTCCACCGAATTTATATAATGAAAAATAAAAGCTGTTTATATTAATTTGGCTTTCAAAAATCTTAAATATGAGTTTCATATTTTTATTATATATCTCTAATGTTATGAATCCTTTTTGCTTTTTGAAAAGAAGGATGTCTTTCATTTAATTGTTTTAGCCTTTTTTTTTTTTTTTTTTTTTTTTTTTTTTTTTTTTTTACTGAATTTAATAGTAGTACAGTATAGAATTATCAGTTTTTAAGCTGGATTAATTTTTCTGCACATATTTTATAAATATTTATAAATATCTGTTATTTTAATAAAATTTGTTTTAGTAGTAAATCTATACATTTCAGGCTATAACTTCATGAATTCTTGTTATCATAAAGTGTACACAATGTTCAAGACTATTTAATGAATTATCACTAACCCTTTTAAAGTACTAGAAATTCAGGAGAAGTGTCTATAGAACCCTTTATTAACTGAAATGAAGTTTAACAGTCGGCACCAACTTGTGCTTACAGAAGCCATTACTTTTGGCTTAAATCAAAAGGTAATGGTTAAACTTAAAATTGGTGAAATCATGTATAGTCAGTCTAACTGCTTCACAGTTTAACTATCGCACAAGCTGGCTGTGACTCGAAGTCGGCATAAACAAGCTTATTGGCTAGATTGGGTTTCAACCAGGCAGAACACGCTCTCATTTCACCCTCCAAAAACTTCCTTTAAATACTTTCTTCGTCTATCTAATTTGAAAAGCGCGCGTGCTAGAAATTTGCTGTCTGGCAGTGAAGACAGGAAAGGTGCTTTAATTTAAAATAACCGGTTAGGAAATTAAATAATAGTTTACAAAGCAATATTTTGAATGTCAGTTAGACGTGATAATAACTTTTATATCGTTGCTCCTAATTTAATTAAAAATTTCAGTTAACCTTACTAAAATCCTTCACTAGCCTTCTAATTGTTTTCCTTCTGTTGCTATTTTTTTAACAATTTTTCCTGTTCGTCTTTTTGCATAATTTCGTAACATTTTTCAGAATTTAAATGTACAGCTTCATGAAACTGTATTGTGCATTATTTATAATAAATCTCCTCGAATGCTTTTCTCCGCTGAAAGTACACTGTTGAAGATGAATAGTTGCGTATTGTACTCGAGGTGTGTTTGAAATGGAGATCTTATTAAAGAGAAAGGACTCACATTCCCTTACAGACGAAAGAGACCGTATGCCATGAAATGCTACAGTTCAGTTAGCAATCAATATTTAAAAATATTTGAATTCATTGTACATTAAAATTGCAGAAAGTTTTCCTGATGTGTAGAAACCCAGTAGTAGCCAAGTGGATAAGAGTGTTTCAAACTGTGGTAATTCGAGTTAGGTTCAAATCTTTACAAACTACCTGGCTCCATGAGTATTTTTGTGTTTTTCACGCAACGTAAATAAGAGTCAGCGTGTTTTCGAAGGCATGCCCTCCGCGAAAGTACGCTGAGACTAGAATAGACAGCCCGAGTGTTCTTTGCCATAATCCAATAAATGCAAATCCTTAGGAATAGATTTGGTAAACAGAAGTTCTTCTCAAAGTGTAATGGGTTAAATTAAATACGTTTTCTCCTTGAAAAAGAATTAGAAACTAAGCGGTAGAAAGTATAACTTTTTAAAGCAACATGTCGTCACCAGAGATATATAAAATAAACTGATTTTAAACTGTTTTCTTCTGACGTAACAATTTTAAATCCACCCGTAAGCACATGGTATCATGTGATTACGTTTTAAGCATGACATTCCTGACTGTCAGTTCAGCTACTTTGATTGGTCAAGATACTGATCTTTAACAGTGTTTCTCAACATGCATGTTCTGTATCAATAGTTCATCAACATCCATACTTTTGTATTATATTTCTGTTTTCTCAACCATTGGGGAATGAAAGTGGTAAAGCAGTTCTTGGTGACAATATTATTAAAATATTACTCCCTCTGTCCAGAAATAAGTCTGAAATATGCGTTTTTTTACGATTAATTAATTTTGTTTTTCTAAAAAATAATTTAATGTACAAAATTGTAAAACACATTAAATAAATTTTGTTTACATAATAATTATGTATGTACTATATCTTGTATACTTTTGGAACAAGATCGATGTCATAGGTAATAGTAAGCTTGTTGTTGTCAACAAGCTGTAATAATGAGTAATATAGAGCTTGTCTGTTTGGAGACAACCTGGCTGTCTTTTGATAATTTGTAGCCAAAACAGTGTTTCTGTCGCCCATATTTAAGTTGAAAGAAAATTTATAATTTTTCTGAAAAACCAATAATAATTCTAATTTATAAATAACTAAAAAAAACTTGACGTATTTATAAAAATTAATTTCAGTGTCATAATTGATTTATGAACTAAATGCACCAAAGAGCAATTGTTGAGATACTAAAGCAACAAAAATCAGCATAACTTTCTTAATTTTTCAGGACTAGTTTCGCATGTTAAATAGAACCTTCTTTTTCAGTTGTAAAAAATGAATGAGTGAAAATGACAAAGGAGAAGCGTATGCTCACACGGTAAATAGTGACCTAAAAATTCGAGGAAATTCCAGCTAAGGAAGAGAAGAAAACTACCGTTGCCATTTATTGACAAAGAATGAAAAAAAACTATGAAACGATTTCTTTAAAAGTTAAAATTAAAGACGGGTTGGGTTTATGAAATGTACATTGATTTTGCTGCTTTAGAATCTTCAACATTTGACATCTAATACTTGAAAGCCAAGGCTTCCTCTCTCTTTAAAAAATCGTCAGTAAGACATACTTCTGGACAGATGCAGTATGCAATTTTATTATTATAGTATTTATAAAATTTTCTTTATATAGTTTATAAAAGTTTATAAAATTGTCATTCAAGTTTCTCATTATCGCAACAAATACTACAGAAAAGCAGTAAGAGTTTATTTCTTTTGTATGTATACTTTTGTTCCACGTTATTATCTTTTCATTGTGTAAAAGAATCTGCAAGAATATTACATGTCTCTTGATTACTGATAGCTTTGACTATCCCATGATTTCTCTTCATTGTGTTTTTCATTAAGTTTGCATTTCAAACATATTCTATTCTTATTTTTTAATCAGCTCGTATGTGAAACTAGAAAACATTAAAAAAAAGCCCTCAGCAATATGATCGTGTTTCATAAAGAAACTTTTACCTATTTTATACATAATATGCAAAGGGGCTCTAAACTATAACCTTTTAAACAGAAACTTCAAAAGTAAGTTAAAAAAATCTTGTAATAATATTAGTAGTAGTAATAATAATAATAGCAATGGTAATCTAAAAATTTAAGAAACAAAAAGAAATTATAACAGATTTCAACAGCGAATTTTATTACAGAATAGTTTCTTTTTTATTCACCGCTTTTAAACTGTTCACAGATTTAAAAGGAAAAACGCACTCTTAAAGTTATATATTATTAAAACTATTCTTCTGTTAATAATAATAATCTTATTTCCTCTTATAATCCTAACTGCACAATTCGTGTATTTTTTGTAATAAAATATTATACATTACGCACCGAACCATTTCAGATACTGAATGAACTTGTAGAATATTCTTTATTAAAACTGGCAATGAAAGCATAATGTAAATTAATTAATTTTATTATTTGGCCACTTTAATTAATTCATTCTTTCATTTAATATATGAATTATTTAAAATGTAACATTTCCTTTAAGATGACATCGAATTCGAAATTGAATGTTTTACAATTTTTGTTCAGTTTTTAACTAGTCACTATTGGTGAGGTCACTGATCACCATTTAAAGGTTAAACTGAATCATTATTTCAGTGTGTTATGCATCAGATAACTGTAACTATTTATGAGAAATTCTCGTTATCATTTACTAGTTACTTAAATACAGAATGAATTCTTTTTATCTATCTTTATTCTAATTAATGGTTTGAATCTGTAAAGTATAATTATTTATATATCTTCGAAAATGATGTGGTTTCTTAATTTTTTTTTTTTTTTGTATAAACATTTAAGAGCTTGATTGCGTTACATTAACGTAAATGTAAATTTCTACAAAAGTATTTTGAAGCATTCAACTGATTATTTTAACACTTAACTAATAATACGGTTTTTATAAGTAAATATGACGAAATATGTTGTTAGTTAGTTCTAATAAGATTTAGTAAAATTCTGAGTTAATTCCTGACTTTCCAAATTAGTTTCCCTGTACTTTAATCTATAAATTTCTTTATTGTTTAATTTTGCGCCAGACGCGGAATTCAGAGAACTAAAAGGAAATGAAAAAGTAAAATATAATAATAATGTTATTTTAAAGCTTGTGTTGAGCCGTTTCAGGAAATAAGTTTGGTTAAAATATAATTTAATCACCTCATTATCCTGTCGTTCAGGAAATTTTATTTATTTATTTTTTACTCTGTGTTGTTTTCTGTGTCTGGTAACATTATATTATGTTCTACAAAATGTTCCGTTTCGAAAATATTCTTAGTCTGTCGTTAAAATACGATAACGATATGGATCTTCATTTCCAAATGGTAATTGTAGATGGTGAACGCATTCTTCTTAATTCCCACTTTAAAATCATAGAAAAATAATTAATGTTCTTGCGTAACTCCATTTTTTTTCCTAATATTTATTCTACGCCAAACTACTTGCAACTGACCAATGAAAAATCGTCTGCTAGGCAAAAATAATTAATATTTTCAAAATATTTTCAAATCTAACCATTAATTTTTTCTGCCACTTATCGTCTGCGCGTATCTAAAAAATTTAAGAGTGACCTACGTATATGCATAAATAATCAGCAAGCATATTATTTGTGCACAATGTGGTATAAAGCATGTTATACCACATTGTGCAAGTGATGCCATTGATTTTGTGGCTAACAACTTGGTTTCATTGAATTAGCTTCTGTCAACGTAACTCAGTGTATCGAATGGAACACTGAGGAAATCGATAATGAAATAGGGTATTAATATAGATGAACAATGGGAGGACAACTTAGTCAATAAACTATGTTGAAGTGCCTGTACAAGAAATAA